CAAAAGAAATGCATACCTTTCACACACCCCAAATATTCCTAGGGTGCATTGCCCAGAGGTAATGAAACATATGGTATATAAATTAGAAATTTATAAAGCCAACTGTTTTTCCTTTCTCAAATAATTTTGTTAGAAGTGTAGAATAATGTTTAAAAAAAAGTATTTAGGTATATGATGAAGTACAATAAATTCAGATATGTATAGACTGGATCTGCTGGAATTATATTTTCATTAAAATGAACTTTCTAATTCTATCCGAAATGCATTATCACTGAGGGAGAGTCCCATTAAAACATAAAGTACAGAGAGTATGTGGTGATTCCGTATTTCACAGACATAATAAACTTATGGCAAGGTTCTTCTATGCCTATCTTAGAATTTAGGGGATGCCTGAGTGGCTCAGTGGTTGAACATCTGCCTTCAGTTCAGGACATGATCTTGGGAGTCCTGGAATCAAGTCCTGCATCGGGCTCCCCAAAGAGCCTGCCTTGCCTCTCTGCCTAGGTGTCTGCCTCTCTTCTCTGTGTCTCTCATGAATAAATAAAATCTAAAAGAGAGAGAGAGAGAGAGAGAGAGAGAGAGAGAGAGAGAGAGAGAGAGAATTCAGAACATGATGGTTGTCACGGTAAAATATATTAACACATTTATTTAAATTAAAGAAGGGAGGCACTTTTTTTCTGATTTAAAAAATACATAAGATGTGCTGAAGTCCAAAATATATGTTTTCTCAACTCTAAGTATTGAACAAGGTACCTAAAGGAATGCGTAATCAGCATAATCAACACATAATCAACAATAATTTGATATGCTTGAACAGATGCTTTCTTTAGTATACACTTACCAGAATGAGAAGTAACTTGGTAAAAACTGGTACGAAATCTTTGTGTAAGTCAAAAAACTTCCAACTTTTATTTTTAACAAAAGTGGAGTTCTAATGGAATTATTAGCTTTTCTCATTAAAAATGACTAACAAAGGGGTACCCAGGTGGCTCAGTCAGTTGAGGGTCTGACTCTTGGTCAGCTCAGGTCATGATCTCAGGGTTGTGAAATCGAGCCCTCTGTGGGGCTCTGCACAAGGCATGGAGCCTGCTTAATATTCTCTCTCCCTCTGCCCCTCCCCCCTTAACAAGAAGACAAACAAAATGACAATAAATATATAAACACACAAACACACACAAGGATGTTGATTTTGACCAATCTCCTGTGCAGAAGAATTTGAAATAATTTATACAGATACCTCAGCCCCATGGAATTATAATTCCCATTCCTTGTATCTGGGTTCCACCTATGTCCTCCTTCCTTCGAAAGAGTACAGAATGGGATGGGAAAAACAAGTAACTTTATACAGGAGAAATTGAAAAACCGAATCCTAGCCAATAATGAATGTTAACATCAACAGTGACAAGTCATGTTGATATTACATACCCTTTATACAATGTAGTAACAATATATTTTACCTTCATGGTCTTCCTCTCCAGCACTCATAACCCTACTCTAGTAACCAGGAAGACATCACAAAATTTCAGTTGAGGGACCTTTTTACAATACCTGATCAGTACTCCTCAAAATTGTCAAGGTCATCAGAAACAAGGAAAGTCTGAGACTTTCACAGTTCCATAAGGAGACATGCCTGTTAAATATAACATGGTATCATGCATGGAATTCTGGAGAACTATCTGTACTATCTTCACAATTTTCAAAAATCTGAAACTGTTCTAAAATTCTTAAAAGTCATTTAAGAGAAAACATCAACAACAAAACCACAATGAGATCCCATGTCCACCCACTATGGTTAGAAACAAAAATAATAGCAAGTGTTAACCAAGATGTAGAGAAACAAATTCTCAAACATTGTTGGTAAGAATGAACTATTTAGTGTAGCCATGTTAGAAAACAGTCTGGTAATTGCTCAAAATTTAAACACTGAGTTATCACATGACCCAGCAATTCTATTCTTAGGTATATATCCAAGGGAATAAAAACATGTATATGTAAAAACAATGTTTATATAACAGCATTACTCATAATAGCCAAAAAGTGGAAACAACCCAAAGGTCCACTGACTGATGAATGGATAAACAAAGTGTGATATAAGCATTCAATGGGGGAACACGTGGGTGGGCTCAGTGGTTGAGCGTCTGCCTTTGGCTCAGGTCTTGGTCCTGGGGTCCTGGAATCAAGACCCACATCAGGTTCCCTGTGGGGAGCCAGCTTCTCCTTCTGCCTATGTCTCTGCCTTTCTCTGTGTGTGTGTCTCATGAATAAATAAAATCTTTTTTTTAAAAAAGCATTCAATGGAATTCTTATTCAGCCATAAAAAGATGAAATACTGATTAATGCTACAACAAAAATGAACCTTGAAAAGATGCTAAGTTAAAAAAAAAAAAGAAAAGATGCTAAGTTAAAGAAGTCAATCACAAAAAAAAAGTCAATCACAAAATACTACATATTAAACGACTCTATTCCTACAAAATATCCAAACAGATATATCTATAGAGACAGAAAGTAGACTAGTGCTTTCCTAGGGTTGCAAGTAGAATGGTGAAGGTTGAGGGATAATGGAGTGAAAATACTAAGAGGTAGGAGTTTCTTCAGAGGTGATAAAAATGTCCATGGAGTACTTCAGTGGCTCAGTCAGCTAAATGTCTCTTTTTTTAAAAAAAAAAATATTTTATTTATTTATTCATGAGAGACACACACACAGTGAGAGAGAGAGAGAGAGGGAGAGAGAGAGGGAGAGACACAGGCAGAGGGAGAAGCAGGCTCCACACAGGGAGCCCGACATGGGACTCGATCCCAGGTCCCCAGGATCATGCCCTGGGCTGAAGGTGGCACTAAACCGCTGAGCCACGGGAGCTGCCCTAAATGTCTGACTCTTGATCTCAGGTCTTAATCTCAGGGTCATAAGTTCAAGCCCCGAGTTGGGCTCCACATTGGGCATAGAGCCTATTTTTTTAAAAAAAAAGTTCTAAAATTGATTGTGGGGATATTTGTATCTCTGCCTACATTAAAGAACAGTGAACCATTTACTTAAAATGGGAGAATTGTAGAGTATGAGAATTATATCACAATAAAATTGTTTTTGTTTTTTATAAAGACTGACTCTGATTTTTGCCAAATTCAGAAGGAATTATTAAAAGGATTTAGTTTTGCTGCCATATAAGATTTTATTCCATTATCACATGTAAATATAGTCTCTTAATCATTGCATCCAATATATATATTTATGTTACATACATATGTTAGTCCTCGTGTGTGTGTACACACACACACATATATAGATATATATATTCTTGGGTGTGTATATTAGTATATATAATGTATATTACCCATACATATAGATTGAAGCTGTATTTCTGCCTCATTCTAGCAATGTAATGATTATTCATGGATACATGACCTAACTGAAAACAAAGGTCTATATACTTGGTTAAAAATGCATTTCTAAATAATTATTAAATGTAAAAAGTATACTGAAAGTATAATATACTTGGTTTTTTTTAGTATAATATACTTGTATTGTTTTTAATCAACTTTAATCATGTCAAGATAAAAATCAGTTTTGTCACAAGCAATTAAAATATATATAGATTTTTATTGCAGAAAATTATTATAGGATAAACAAAATATATAAGGCTATCAAACATAAAAATTTCAAGTATTAGGATAAAACTCTGTAGGGATAGTAAAATGGAAATTAAAATGCCAAGTAGAAAAAAATGTATTTTTTAAATATTTAAATTTGAGATGTAAAAAAACCATATCTAAAAAACAAACAAATCACCAAAAAAATGCTGCACCTAAAAACATGCTACAGTGGGGATGCCTAGTGCCTCAGTACGTAAAGCATGTGACTCCTGATCTTGGGGTTGTAAGTTCAAGCTCCACATAGGGTATAGAGATTACTTAAATAAGATCTTAAAAAACAGGGATCCCTGGGTGGCGCAGCGGTTTGGGGCCTGCCTTTGGCCCAGGGCGCGATCCTGGAGACCCGGGATTGAATCCCACGTCAGGCTCCCGGTGCATGGAGCCTGCTTCTCCCTCTGCCTGTGTCTCTGCCTCTCTCTCTCTCTGTGTGACTATCATAAATAAACAAATAAACAAACAAACAAACAAACAAATAAATAAAATCTTAAAAAACAGAACAAAACATGCAACAGTGAACACAGGTTTTTTCAAAATTCTATTAAGGGTTAAGTGACCAACTCCTAAATATACAGACCGCTACTCTAAACAAACAAATGGTTAAATATCCATCTATTTATATATAGTTCAACAGATTAACAGATGGATAATCTCAATATTGTACTGTATGTTAACTAATTCGAATTTACATAAAAATTTGAGGGACGCCTGGGTGACTCAGTGGTTTAGTGCCTGCCTTCAGCCCAGGGCGTGATCCTGGGGTCCCGGGATCGGGGCCAAGTACCACATTGGGCTCCCAGCATGAAGCCTGCTTCTCCCTCTGCCTATGTCTCTGCCTCTCTGTGTGTGTGTGTCTTTCATGAATAAATAAGTAAAATCTTTAAAATAAATAAATAAAAAATAAATGAAAAGACAAAAATAGATAATCAAAGAGAATCAAAAGAAATATACAAGCCCTTCAAATCATTAAGAAACATGGAAGCTCTTTTAAAACCAGTTACGTATATAAAGTTGTGAGTTTGTAAAGACTTAGATTTTTCTGCAAAATATAATAAGGATAAAGAAGCAATCAATCTAAACATGACTTCATGAGATCCAAAGATGCAGGATGGAACTAAGATAATGTAAGAGGAAGAATTCAGACTAGAAAAGTTCTTCCAAGATGAACTTAAAGAAATGAGTAACAAATGCATTACTGCTCTGTAAATACCACTCTTCAAAATGATGCAAATGTGTTAAAGCTCTAGCAGAAGACAAAACCAAGTACAGAAAGGATTCTTTGTACTTCTTAAAAGATAATATCCAATCTTAAGAACCCACCTAAAAACCAAAGTATTCCTTATGTAACCCCTTACCTGACATTCTGAGTAGGATTCCACCTTTCAGAGGGCAGTTCTCCACTCTGTGGGTCATCTACAGGCGGATGAAGAATCGAAATGCATACATCTCCATTCTGTGAGACACAAACATCACATTCAGTAAATACTCAAAAATATGATGTAAAAAAAACATATGATGTAAACTTAATTATAATTCCCTCAGGATGTGGACCAAGCTCACTACTTTTTAAGATTTTATCCATTTATTTGAAAGAGAGAGAGAGCATGAATGAGCACGAGCAGGGGGAGGGGCAGAAGGAGAAGTGATCTCCCTGCTGAGCAGGGAGCCTGACACAGGGCTCCATCCCAGGACCCTGACCTAAGCAGAAGGGAGATGCTTAACTGATTGAGCCACCCATGTGCCCCTTAGTTCATAAATTTAAAGTATGGGACCTAATCCACATGTACATGTTTAAGTCAAACACATATGGATTGCCTACCATATACATCACAGACTGTTATTCAATATAAAAAACTAAGATAGTCACCAATCTCAGTCTAAAATTCTAAATTCTGGGATCCCTGGGTGGCGCAGCGGTTTGGCGCCTGCCTTTGGCCCGGGGCGCAATCCTGGAGACCCGGGATCGAATCCCACATCGGGCTCCCGGTGCATGGAGCCTGCTTCTCCCTCTGCCTGTGTCTCTGCCTCTCTCTCTCTCTCACTGTGTGCCTGTCATAAATAAAATAAAATAAATTTAAAAAAATAAAAATAAAAAAAATAAAATTCTAAATTCTAAATAATTAGAGGTATAACTATATGAAGTGTAAAAACCTTGTATATACAACCCAAACTTAGACATACACACAAAATACACAACTGTATCAAGATAACAGATCACTTTTAGAAGAATAAAATTTTAATAAAATCAATACCAAACACTAAATTCTAAAACTCTATACTATCATTAGATGCCATGTGGAAGGCTGGGAAAAAAAAAAAAAGGAAGAGAAACAAGGAGAGAGAAACTTAGGGTGTATTTGGATAGATGATACCTGGCAAGTATCATCTGTGGAAGTGTGGAAGACAAACTAAAGGCTTAGTGTTTGAGAAAGCTTTGAGATGGGTCTTGAATATTAAGTACAATTTTAACAACTTAAGGAAAATTTAGACATGAGTTAACCCAGAGAAATACGCCAACACCATAAACGGAATATGCTTGGATAGTTGTAGTTTTTTTTGAATTGCTACGGTAACAAATCACCACAAACTTAGTAGTTTAAAACAACAAAAACTGATTGTTTTACACTTGTAGGCCAAAATCTGACACTGTTCTCACAAGGCTAAATTAAATGTGTCAGCAGCAATGCACTCCTTTCTGAAGCCTCTAAGAAAAAAAAAATCTCTTTCCTTGTCCTTTCTAAGCTTCTAAAGGCCACCCACACTCCTTTGCTCTTGGTCCCCTGCCTCTAATCCTCAAAGCAAGCAATGTTGCATTTCTCTGGGCCTTTCTTCCACAGTAACATCTTTAACTCTGGTTTTCTGCCTACCTCTTCCACTTGAAAGGACTCTTTGGGTTACACTGGGCCCACCTAAATAATCCAGAATAACCTCTTTATTTTATGGTCAGCTAATAATTAGCAAATTTTTCTTCACAGGTTCCAGGGAATGGGATGTGAACTCCTCTGAAGTACTGTTATTTTACCTACTACAGTAGTGAAGAACTCACTTGTAAAGAAAAATAGAGCACAAAAACTAGACCAGAGGAATAGTCACTTTGTTCTGTGTTTGATATGTATATACATAAAATTTCTGAGCAGTGGAATGACGTATATAGATTTGTACATAGAAACAACATATTAAAAGATGGGCATCTCAGTTGATGAAGACAAAGCATTTGACAAAATCCAACACTTTTTCATGATAAAAACACTCAAAACACTATAAATAGAAGGGAAGTATCTTAACACTGTAAAGGGGATTTAAAAAAAAAACAAAAAACCAAAGCTAGCATTATACTAAGTGGTGCCATCTTTCCTAAGATCAAGAACAAGAGGACAAAGATAACCCATTTTTACCACTGCTATTTAACACTGTCCTAGAAGTTCAAGCCAGAGCATTACACAAGAAAAAGCAATAAAAGGCATACATATTGGAAAGGAAAAAGTAAAATTATTTCAAAAATGACAAAATTCAAAGAATTCACAAAAAAGCTACAAAAGCTAATAAATAAATTTAGCAAAGTTGTAGGTATAACATCAACATTCAAAAATCAGGTTTACTTTTTTATATGCCAGCAATAACCTAAACAGGATAACTTAAAAGGGATATTAAAAAAACAATTCCATTTACAATGGCATCTAAAAGAATACCTAGGAATAAATCTAACCAAGGAGGTGAAAGACTTATATACAGAAAAGTATAAAAACACTTCTCAAAAAAATTAAAGACCTAAGTAAATAGAAAAATACCCTGTGTTCCTGAGTAGAAAGACAATGTTAACATAGCAATATTCCCCAATTTGATCTACAGATTCAAGGAAATCCTAATCAAATACTTAGCTTCCCTTTTTCCAGAAATTTACAAACTGATCCTAAAATTTACAGAAATTTAAGGGAACTACAATAGCAAAAACAATCTTTAAAATAAAAAAGAATAAAAGGGTGCCTGGGTGGCTCAGTCAGTTAAGTTGTCTGACTTTGGCTTGTCTCATGATCTCAGCGTCCTGGTATTGGTACCCACATTGGGGCGGGGAGGGGTGTCTCCTTGTCCCTCTGCCCTTCTCCCTGCTCATGCTCTCTCTCTCAAATAAATAAAATCTTTAAAAAAGGAGAAGAGCAGGAGGAGGAAGAGGGAGAATAAATTCGGAAGACTCACACTTTCTGATTTCAAAACTTACTATGAAGCTAAAGTCAACAAGAAAGTTTAAGACTAGCATAATGACAGACTTATAGGTCAACAGACTAGAACTGAGGGATTCCTGGGTGGCGCAGCAGTTTGGCGCCTGCCTTTGGCCCGGGGCACGATCCTGGAGACCCGGGATCGAATCCCACGTCGGGCTCCCGGTGCATGGAGCCTCCTTCTCCCTCTGCCTATATCTCTGCCTCCCTCTCTCTCACACTGTGTGCCTATCATAAATAAATTAAATTAAAAAAAAAATTAAAAAAAAAAAACAGACTAGAACTGAGAGTCTCTAAATAAATCTATACATCTATGGCCCACTGATTTTTTTTAAAGATTTGTTTGTTTGTTTGTTTATTTATTTATGATAGACAGAGAGAGAGAGAGAGAAGCAGAGACGAGGAGGGAGAAGCAGGCTCCATGCCAGGAGCCCGACGCGGGACTCAATCCCAGGACTCCAGGATCGTACCCTGGACCAAAGGCAGGCGCCAAACCGCTGAGCCACCCAGGGATCCCCTGGCCCACTGCTTTTTGACAAGGATGCTAATAAGTCCATTCCATGGGGGAAAGAATAGTCTCTTCAACAAATGATGCTGGGATAACTGGATTTTCAAAAACAAAAGAATGAAGTTGAATTTGTACCTCATACCATATGCAAAATTAACTCAAGATGGAACAAAGATCTAAGAGCTAAAATCATAAAACTCTTTAAAAACAAAACCAGAGGGATCCCTGGGTGGCGCAGCGGTTTGGCGCCTGCCTTTGGCCCAGGGCGCGATCTGGAGACTCCGGATCGAATCCCACGTCGGGCTCCCGGTGCATGGAGCCTGCTTCTCCCTCTGCCTATGTCTCTGCCTCTCTCTCTCTCTCTCTCTCTCTGTGTGTGTGTGTGTGTGACTATCATAAAATAAATAAAAAAAATTAATAAAAAAAAAACAAAACCAGAGGTGCCTGGGTTGCTCAGCTTGTTAAGCAACCGACTTGATGTCAGCTCAGTGACGATCTCAGGGTTGTGAGATCAAGTATTGCCTTGGACCCATGCTGGGCATGGAGCCTGTTTAAGATTCTCTTTTATCCTTCCTCCTCTAAAAACAAAACAAAACAAAAAAATAGGGGTAAATCTTCATGACCTTTGATATGGCAATGTATTCTTAGATAGGACACCAAAAGCAAGAGCAACAAAGATAACCTAGACTTCATCAAAATGAAAAACTTTTGTGCAAAGGACATTATTAAGAAAATGATAAAATAACCTATAGATATAAAGGAAGTATCTCCAAGTCATATATCTGGTAAAGGTTTAATATCCTTAATTATATAGAACTCCTGCAACTCAAAGAGAAAAAGATAAACCAGTCAATTAAAAAATGGGCAAAGGACTTTAAGCATTTCTCTATGATACATCAATGGCCAATAAGCACATGAAAGGACGTTCAACATCATTAGTCATTAGGGAAATGTAAATCAACAAAAAGATATCACTTCGCATCCCCTTATAATGGCTATAATTAAAACAAAAATAAATAACAAATATTAGTAAGGATGTAGAGAAATGGGAACCCTTATACACTGCTGATAAGAATATGAAATGGTTCATCTGCTGTAGAACTATCTGGTTGTTCCTCAAAAAGTAAAACACGGAATTATGCATTTGATTCCATAATTCCATTCCTAGATGTATAAGCAAGGTGTATAAACTGAAAAAAGTACTTCAGCAAGTACATGTATATACATGGTCACAGCATCACTATTCACATATCCAAAAGGTAGACAAAGTCCATCAATAAATGGATACAATGGAGTATCATCCAGCCATAAAGATTAATAAAAAAAAAGATTAATCAAGTATTGGGGCCCCTGGGTAGCTCAGTCGGTTAAGCAGCCAAGTCTTCATTTCAACTGAAGTAATGATCCGGCAGTTGTGAGACTGAGCTTTGTGTCAAGCTCTGCACTTTGTGTAAAGTCTGTTTCAGATTCTCTCTCCCTCTCCCTCCAGCTTGTGCGCGCTCTCTCTCAAATAAATACTTTAAAAAAAAAAAAATGAAGTACTGATACATGCTACATGCAAGAACTTCAAAAACATTAGGATAAGTGAAAGCCAGAGACAAAAGGTCACGTACTGTATGATTCCATTTATGCAATCTCTACACCCAATGTGGGGCTTGAACTCATAAGCCGAGGATAAAGAGTCGCATGCTCTACCAACTGAGCCAGACAGGTGCCCCTCTGTATGATTCCATTTATAAGAAATATCCAGAATAATAAATACACAAGGACAGAAAACTGGGTGGTGGCTGTCAGAAACTAGGACTAGGGTACAATGATAATAGGGACTAGGGTAAAATGGTAATGGGAAGAAATTGCAGTATGGGTAAGGTGTTTTATGCATGAGTGATGGAAATACTCTACAAAGAGAGGTGATAGTTACACAACACTGGGACCATGAACTAAATGCCACTGAATTATGTTCATTTTAAATGGTTCATTTTATGTATGTAAATTTCATCTCAATAAATTACTATTTATTATAATTATTATTTTTAAAGGGTGGGGGAAGTTCTAGGTCTCCAGAAAGTCAGTGTTTTGTTTTGTTTGTTTTTTTAAGTAGGGGAAGGGGCAGAAGGAGGAAGCAGACTGACATGGGTCCATCCTAGGACCCTGAGATCATGACTTGAACCAAAGGCAGACACCTAACCAACTGAGCCACTCAGGAGCCCCCAGAAACGTATTCTAAAATGTAAAATGAAGGCTATTTAGCCTAGGTCCCCTCCAAATCCAATTAAACGGAAATCTCCAATATTCTTTATTTTTAACAACTTCTCCACAGGATTCTGATACGCAGCCAAATTTGGGCACATCAGAGCCTAAGGAAATCTCTTCCTCATTCTTTAAAGATAGACAGGATGCATAAGATCTGTAAATCCATGAATGTAACTACATAAATATACATATTAAATCCTGCTTGTCACAGATTATTTACAAACCAGAGCCCAGCTCTACAAATTTGGTAGCCTAAATATTAGTACGTTCTAAATGGAGGCTAATGTACCTATACTTAAATCCTTCAGGTCCGTATACCCTCACAGAGCAAACTAGTATCCTTATATAAAATTTTTTTAAAGAAAAACTATAAGTGGGACGCCTGGGTGGTTCAGCAGTTGAGCGTCTGCCTTTGGCTCAGGGCGTGATCCTGGAAACCCGGGGATCGAGTCCCACATCGGGCTCCCTGCACGGAGCCTGCTTCTCCCTCTGCCTGTGTCTCTGCCTCTCTGCCTCTCTCTCTCTCTCTGTCTCTATGAATAAATAAATAAAATCTTAAAAAAAAAAATTAAAAATCTTTAAAAAAAAACTATAAGAAAAAATGAAAAATTTAAAGCATAACTAAGAATTCAAATTTTTTTAAAAGATTTTATTTATTTATTCATGAGAGACACACACACACAGAGAGGCAGAGGGAGAAGCAGGCTCCGTGCAGGGAGCTGACGTGGGACTCGTTTACGGGTCTCCAGGATCATGCCCTGGGCTCATAAACCGCTGAGCCACTCGGGCTGCCCAAGAATTCAAATTTTTAATAATGTATATTACCAAATAACATTTGCTAGGTAAAATTTCAACATCAAATCAGAATCAAAATCCTCTGGTTTCTGGTGACATTCTACCTTATTCATTTGATTCATATAAACCAAGGTAAAAGTTATGCAGAGACTCTGGGAGTTCTACGGGAACATCCTACAAAACTTTTCTCTGATGATTTAAGAAATGAAGAATATTTTACATGTTGAATAATGATGACTTGTTTTAATGAGGGAAAGAATGAAAAAAAACAAATATATTTTACTGGTGCAAAAGAAAAGTTATGTCAATTCATCTTAGTGACTGAAGCAAACAAGGCACCATGCAGAGAGCCTGACGTGGGACTCGATCCAGGGTCTCCAGGGTTCTCCAGGATCACGCCCTGGGCTGCAGGCGGCGCCAAACCGCTGCGCCACCGGGGCTGCCCCTTACTGCTTCTTTAAAAAGAATACATATATGGCATGGAAAATAACTACATATTTGTAAGATACACATGCATTATTTTACCACTGAAAATTTTATTATGAATCTGAAAAATATTTTTAAAAAATAATGACCTAATGCTAAATTTTAAAGAGACAGGACTAAATAGCCTACTTTAATAGTTAAAAAAAAAAAAAAAAAAAACAACTTTATTCCTCTACAGTTTTGAATTCTTTTCCTTATTTCTTGTTTTTCATTTGAGAGGGGTTTGAGAATTAGATAACTTGAGGTGGAAACAAGTGAATACATGGCTTTAAGGTAAATTAGTTCTCAATAACAAAACAACAGCTTGAGTTTTCTCACTTCTCCCTTGCCATCTAAAATCTATATATAGGGCAGCCCCGGTGGCACAGAGGTTTATTAGCACTGCCTGCAGCCCAGGGCGTGATCCTGGAGACCCTGGATCGAGTCCCACTTCAGGCTCTTTGTGTGGAGCCTGCTTCTCCCTCTGCCTGTGTCTCTGCCTCTCTCTGTGTGTGTCTCTATGAATAAATAAATAAAATCATAAATAAATAAATAAATAAATAAATAAATAAATAAATAAATAAATAGAATCTATATATATACTACATGGACAAAAACAAAGATATTTCTATGTGTACTGAACTCACGCTGAATTTATGAAACAGCAAATTGCTTCTATAATCTCTCTCCTGTAATGGATAACTTAGTTATACAGAATAATATTCATTATTGTTTATTCATATTGTGATTATGTCAAATACTAAAGATACTAAAGAAAACAACACTCTGGGAACTTATTTCTAGAAATGTAAATACATACCACCTTTTGAGCACCAGTTTGTCCTGTTTAAACAGGAAAAGAGGGGTGCCTGGGTGGCTCAAACATCCAACTCCTGATTTCAGTCACAATCTCAGGGTTGTCAGATTGAGCCCCACATGGGGCTCCTCAAAGTCGTGAAGTTTGCTTAAGATTCTCTCTCTCTCTCTGCCTCTCCCCCTCATTCTAAAAAAAGGGGGGGGGGTACCTGGGTGGCTCAGTCAGTTAAAGTGACTGACTTGATTTCAGCTTAGGTCAGGGTAATGGGATTAAGTACCACATCAGGCTCTGCACTCAGTGGGGCATCTGCTTGGAATTTTCTCTCTCCCTCTGCCATTCCCCCACCCCCAATCTGTGTGTGCACTCTCTAAAATAAATAAATAGGAAAAAGAAAGAAAAAAAGAGAGAAAATCCCAAAGATAATGCCTCAAAGAAAAAGCAAGTTGTGAAAAATATAAAGCTGCTCCAGTGTGCTAATTTATACATATGGAGATTCAAATTCAGGACTCTATAAAGCCTCATTCATAAGTATAATATACACTGGTATAAAACTACCTTCAATTTTGAACAATGAAACTAGAGACTACTAAAGGTAGGGAATGATAAATACACCCTTGTGGCTATAGCATAACTACCACAGTGTATGCAGATATAAAGGTTACTTTAAAGGACTGTATCTAAAAAAAAATCTTCAGAGAAATTCACAACACATGTCTCTTACCTCATAAATGTTGGGGTGCCACATTTTGGTCAAGAATCTGAAGGTAGGTGGTGAATATGGGTAGTCAATAGGAAATTTAATGTGCGCCTGAAAAGAAAAAAAAATGAAATGCTAATAAATGAGACTACAGGTTTTTCATATGCCTAATAATTCACCCTATTATATCCCAGTGAAACAAATTCCTTTTTATAGAGTAGACTGAAACAGTAATAGGTACAGGTGTGTCACGCTAATTACTGCATTTTATTTTTATCTCAAAAAATAATTAACACAACCTCATGGTACATAAAACAGAACAAAGGCCATTTTTCACTCACTTAACCACCATCCAGAAATAATAAAAGCTATCATTTTGATATAACTCCTTCCAGCAGTTTTTGGTGTATACATATGTTTCTTTCTTTACAAAACTTATTTCCAAAAATTTGAATATACTGCATTTTATATTTTTCTTTCAATAACCATACATTTTCCTATAAAATAATCTCCAAATATATGATTGTTAGTGTCTGTGTAATGTTCCATCATACAGACCAGACATATAGATGAATCATTAGAAAAAATTTTCCACATTTTGAAACATCTGGGTTGTTTTCAGTCTTTTGCTATTATAAATAACTGCAGCAGCTGTCCTTGGCAGTATCCCATATTTCAAATACAAAGCTACTCAGTAAGACCCTCATCTACAGTAAAGTGAACGGTACAGTAAAAAGAGCGTGAGGAAGGGACAGAAAGGACAAGCTAAGGGTAAATAAGCTAAAACCACCAGTAAACATGGCAAGTCAGGAAGCTCAAAACTTCTTCAATAAAAGCAATGAGAAAATTGGCAAAAATTTTAAGAAACCAATTTTTCAGAATTTAGAAAATAACCAAAGGCTAGTAGAAATTCAAGGAACCTCTATTTAAGAAAAAGAGCTGACCCTCAATAAGAACAGTGAACTTTGTGGTGTTTTAACTTGCCCTAGTCCCGTGCCCTGACCTCCAGAGCTGTAGTAACCTTAAAACTAACAAATCACATTCAAAGTGAAGACAAGCAGCCACATAATGTGCTGAAATTTCTTCAGAGCCTTAATTCCAAAGAACTGTCACTATCTGACCTTTCTAACAGTTCCCTAGAAAAATTCACTTGCAAGGCTGTCTTTATTTGACCTGATCTGTAGCTTGGACAGTGTGAAAATAATTTTCCTTGGGACGTGTGTATTGTCAAAAATGATGGGCAAATGTTGAGCTTCAAAGCTGTAAGGTCTAACAAAAAACTAACCAAAAAATTTAATAGGAAAAGTCAAGGATATGAGATATAAAAACTCTAACAAATTCCTAAGAATCCAGAAGACTAGGCCTATGTATAGGGCTGTGCATGTGCCTAGGCTATACACATGCTCAGGAAAGTCATGAGAATTCATTAGAAGACCCTAAACTTCCATCTCTGGCTGAACATGAGGATCTGCACAAGGAGGTGGTAATGGCAAAGGCTCAGGCAGAGTTCAAAACTACCTCTCTGAATGTTAAAGGTTTGCCTCAGCATGCACGTAGAGCTCCTCTAGAATGCCCAGGGAACTTGCTGGTTCCAGGAAATCAAATCAAATCAAACTAAGGAAATCACTGTTCAGTTGATTGCTTAGCTAACCAAGTAGAGACTTTACTGCCCAAACACAAGAATATAGACAAAACAGAATTAGGTCAGAAAACTAAGTAAGGAAACAATCACAATAAACAGCAACAAAAAAATTCTACTGCCACATTTTATTTTATTAAACATCCAACCAGTTTTCAACACACTACCATAGGACATGGGGGAAAAACCCCCCACAAGGTATGGCCCATACACAGGGTAAAAAACCAATTAACAGAAACTGGAAGCCCAGATCTTGAATTCACCAGACGAATCCTTAAATCAGCTGCATTAAATGTTTATTTTTTTTTAATTTTTTAAATTTATTTATGATAGTCACACACACACACACACACACACACACAGAGAGAGAGAGAGAGAGGCAGAGACATAGGCAGAGGGAGAAGCAGGCTCCATGCACTGGGAGCCCGATGTGGGATTCGATCCCGGGTCTCCAGGATCGCGCCCTGGGCCAAAGGCAGGCGCTAAACCGCTGTGCCACCCAGGGATCCCTGCATTAAATGTTTAAAGAATTAAAGGAAACCATGGCTAAAGAACTAAGGACAGTATGAGAAAAATGTCTCAGCACACTGCAAACAGCAATAAAGAGAAATTATAAAATATAAACTGAATAGTTTTTTGAGAGGGAAAAAAGCCCCAAATATGAATTGTCGGGTGGTGGCAAAGTACAATAACAACAAAAAGCTAGATGGGCTGAACAGCAGATCTGAACAAGGGGAAAAAATCTGTGAACTTGAAGATATATCAATTTAGATTTCCCCATCTAAAGAAATAAAAAGCAACATATGCATACTGGGAATGCCAGCAGGAGAGAAAACAAATGTATAAAGAAAAAATATATGACAAAATAATGACCCCAAGTATCCAAATTTAATGAAAAACATTAAGCCTCATAAGCAAGAAGTTCAACAAATGCCACTAGAATAAACTCCACATCTAGTTATATCATAATTAAACTGTTGAAAGCCAATCTTGAAAACAGCAAGAGACACAATCAAGCATAATGAATCCTCGATAAGACAGATAATTTGTAATCAGAAACCAGGAAGCCACAAAGCAGTGCTGAAAAAACAAAATTTATCAACCAAAATTTCAATATCCAGCAAAACTATTTCTCAAAAAATGAAGGTGAATTAAGACATTACTAGATAAAGGAAAACCGAGAACTCCTGATAGCATACGTTCTAAATGTATTTTTTTTTTTGGTTTGTAACTTCCTTCCTATCTGATTTAGAAGATAATTACATAATGTAATAATTATAACTCTGCTGATGGGCACATAATACATAAAGTTGTAATTTGTATGGCAATAAGAGAACAGTGAAGGGAAGGGATCAGAGTTAAAAAGAAGCAAAATTTTTAAATTTTTACTTTTTAATTCCAGTGTAATTAACATAGTGTTATATTAGTTTCAGATGTACAACATAGTGATTCAAAAATTCTATATATTACTCAGTGCTCATCACAAAAAATATACTCTTAAGTCCCATTACCTTATTTCACCCAACCACCCCCACTCTGGTAACCACCAGTTTGTTCTTTACGTTTAAGAGTCTACTTTTTTTTTTGGTCTTTTTTGTTCCTTAAATTCCATATGAGTGAAACCATATGGTATATGTCTTTCTTCTACTTAGTTCACTTAGAATTATACCCTCTATACCCACCCATGTTGTTACCAATGGCAAGTTTCATCTTTTTTATGGCTGAGTTATATTCCATTGTGTATGTGTACACGTGTATCTTTGTATATATACATCCTGCCACATCCTCATTTATCCATGCACCGTGGATGGACATTTGGATTGCTTCCACATCTCGCTACTGTAAATAATGCTGCAATAAACCAGGGGTGCATATATCTTTTCGAATTAGTGTTTTCATATTCTTTGGATAAATACCCAGGGATGGAATTACTGGGTTATATGGTGACACATTCTATTTTTAGTTTTTAAAGGACTTTTATAGTGTTTTCCACAGTGGCTGCACCAATTTCCATTCCCATCAACAGTGCACAAAGGTTCCTTTTTTTTATATCCGTGCCAACACTTGTTGTTTCTTGTGTTTCTTATTTTAATCATTCTGACAGGCGTGAGGTGATATCTCATTTTTTTTTAAGATTTTATTTATTTATTCATGAGGGACAGAGAGAGAGAGAGACAGAGACATAGGCAGAGAGAGAAGCAGGCTCCACACAGGGAGCCTGATGCAGAACTCGATCCCAGGACTCCACACTCTGGGGCAAAGACAGGCACTAAACCACTGAGCCACCCAGGCATCTCTCTCATTGTGGTTTTGATTTGCACTTCCCTGATGATTAGTAATGTTAAACATCTTTTCATGTTGGCCATCTATATGTCTAGAAACAAAATTTTTGTACACTACTGAAATTAAAATGGTATTAAATGAACTACCAGTTATGTTGATTATAATCCCGAGGGTATCCCTAAGAATACCTCAAAAATTGAATACCCCTTCACGATTTAAAACACCCAAAAAAGGAATACAAGGTAAATTCTTCAATTTGATCAGGGCATTGATTTTAAAAGTCCTAACATCATATTTAGCAGTATAAGGCTGAATGCTTTTCCCTTAATTTCAGAAATGAGACATGGATATCTGCTCTCACCACTTACATTCAGCACCGTACTGGAGATGTTGGTTAACGCAACTGAGCAAGGAAATAAAATAAAAAGTATCTTGGCTGAAAAGAAAATAGAGTAATATATTTGCAGATAACCTTGTATATAAAATATCCAAACAAATCCACTCAAAGTTATTAGAACAAGTAAACAAGTACGGCAGGTTGCAAGATAGAAGATCAATATACCAGCATCAATTATATTTCTATAGAGTAGAATTTAAATAAACTGAAAAAAAATTTTTTAAATTCCATTTGTAATTGCATCAAAAACAAAACTTAAATTTAACAAAAGTGGCACAAAGTTTATACTCTGAGAAATACAAAACACTGTTGAAAGAAATTAAAGACTTAAACAAATGGAAAGATATTGCATATTCATGGATTACAAGACAATATTATTAAGATGGCAATCCTCCTCCATCTGATCTTCAGATTCAACATCGCTTTATGACAATTCCAGCTCCCTTTCTTATAGAAATGAAAAAGCTGGTACTAAAAGTTGGTATAAGGTTGTAATTCAGGGGACCCAGAATAGTCAAAACAGTCTTTTCTTTTCTTTCTTTTTTTTTTTAAATCATGAGACACACACACACACACACACACAGAGAGAGAGAGAGAGAGAGAGAGAGAGAGAGAGAGAGAGAGAGGCAGAGACACCGGCAGAGGGAGAAGCAGGCTCCATGCAGGGAACCTGATGTGGGGACTCAATTCCGGAACTCCAGGATAACGCCCTGGGGTGAAGGCAGGCACTAAACTGCTGAGCCACCGAAGGGATCCCAAGTCAAAACAGTCGTTTTTTTTTTTAATTTTTAT